TTTCATTTTCCAACAGGACTTGGCACCTGCACACAGTGCCAAAGCTACCAGTACCTGGTTGAAGGACCATGGTATCCCTGTTCTTAATTGGCCAGCAAACTCTCCTGACCTTAACCCCATAGAAAATCTATGGGGTATTGTGAAGAAGAAGATGCAATACACCAGACCCAACAATTCAGAAGAGCTAAAAGCCTCTATTAGAGCAACCTGGGCTATCATAACACCTGAGCAGTGCCACAGACTGATCGACTCCATGCCACGCCGCATTGCTGCAGTAATACAGGCCAAAGGAGGCCCAACTAAATACTGAGTGCTGTACATGCTCATACTTTTCATGTTCATACTTTTCAGTTGGCCAACATTTCTATAAATCCTTTGTTTTTATTGGTCTTCAGTAATATTCTAATTTTCTGATATGATGAATTTGAGATTTTCATTTGTTGTCATTTGTAATCATCAAAATTAAACAAAATAAACATCTGAAATATATGAGTTTGTATGTAATGTATGAATATAATATACAAGTTTCACTTTTTAAATGGAATTACTGAAATCAATCTACTTTTTCATGATATTCTAATTTTATGACCAGCACCTGTATCTATATATCTATCTAGATATATATCTATATATCTATCTATCTATCTTAGGGGTGGAACGGTTCACAAAATCCACGGTTCGGTTCACGGTTTCGTGGTCACGGTTTTCGGTTCAGTATATGTTGATTGTTAGCCTGACATGTTCGTGTTGCTGTTAGCATAAACAAAACGTGTTGCACAATGCTTGCACACTGTTGCACTTTTATCCACAACTTTCTTTCCGCCGTCATCATAGGTCACTCTAAATGCAAAGCGCTCCCATACAGCAGACCTATAAAGTGCTGCTGGCGCGTCTTCCAACTCCTGTTCTTTCCCACTCGCCATACCCACACAATTCTCCACAACAACTGATTTTTTTCTGCTACACCCGGCACCTTCTGCTCTGGAGTGTAAACGCTTCGCCTATGAGAAAAAGGAGCAGCGCATGAACCGAACGCAACACGCGAACCGAACCGAGACAGTCGAACCGAACGGTTCGGACGGTTTTCATAATCCGTTCCATCCCTAATGTATATATGAAGTGTCTCTCCCTCCAGTGGTGCTTTCTGATACGAGGGCCACGGGCAGCAGCCCATGTGCACGGCCTTACGCTCATGCATGTGTAAATTATATGAATCAATAGCAGAGGCATGATACAGATTAGCGCACCACCACACCAACTTTCATTCCCTTGAGTGCACACAACTGAGCAGGAGTGCGTGTTTATATAAAGTAATGGATTAAAGACGGACTCACATTAAAGGTGGGCTATCAGGAGCTCAAAACACCAAATGTGACTTAGTGGCGAGGGTGGATAGTTTCCCTGTCTCCCTTTTTCCTTCACACTTAAAATCCTTAGCACTGTCATGTGGAATGTCTACGAGTTCAGAGAAAAATGAAATTTGTGTCTAGCAATTAGGAAAAATTCTTCCGAGGTGAAGCAAATTAAAAATAATTACTACAAGGGATACAACGGCACATTTAAAAACAAGCACTTTGTTACGACTGCAGAGGAAAAGGCCAGCAGGTAAAGCAGAGCACAATTATACTCCGCTCTACGAGAATAATGTTCAGGAAAAAAAAAAATCACTCAAAAATCCGACGGACTTTGTTTCCAAGTTTGAAGACGTTTAGATTCCCATCCAGGAAGCTTTTTCAATTCAAAATGGCAGAAATAGCGTTGAATTTGAAGCTTTATAGAGTGGACCAAAAACAGCCTCGAATTCAACGCTATTTCGGACCCCAGTCATCCATTTTTCAATTAGAGGAGGACAGCAGGGACGAAGATGTTGTGGAAGAGGACGCCAGGGCGGCAGAAGCTTGGTTTGGTGTAGAAGGCTTCCAGCCGTACATGTTTGAGCCCTTGCCTCGCAACGCTGCCAGTTCTGTTAGCTCTACGCCTGCCGAAGACACAGACGTCCATCCCCGTGAACACTGGGACGGAACTCAATGGGAAAGGAAATTATTCTTATTTCAACCGTTGCGTAAATTAGCTGCGACATATGAATCAAGATGCTATGACCGCAGAAATTTGATTGACAGATGACCGTTGATATATGATTGGACGAATTTAGGTGTTCAGGCTGACGTAGAACTAACTGGCCTGAATAAGATAACGAAAAAAAGTAATACAGATTTTTTCTTAATTTGGGGACAATACATCTGATAAATAGTCCATTTATATACATGTTTAGGCAAGAATGATTTGCATTGGTGTCAAAAGTCCACACATTTGTTACTTAAGTAGAAGTATAGATACTACAGTTTAAAAACACTCTGGTAAAAGTTGAAGTATCAACTTGACCTCTTTAGTCAAGTGAAAGTGAAAAAGTATGTGCTCCAAAAACTACTTAAAGGAATAGTACACCCAAAACATGATTAGCCTTCATTTTCTACTCACCTCCATGCTGAACAACACTCTGGAGTACTTTTTTGATATCTCAAATGCATCTGGAGATCTGGGAGGCTTCTTGCTGTCTGCTGACATTCAAATAATGGAGGTCCATGGCGCCCGAGACAGAAAGGTCCATAAAAGTCCACAAAAACGTGTCAATATTCCTCCATACTGCTCGTCCAATGTAATCCAAGTGTCCTGAGTGGGTAGCATCCAGAATTTACTCGAAACGAAGTCATTTAGAATGTTTTTAGAGCATAAACAGTAGTGTATAGGATTTCCTAATAGCGCCCCCATGCGCGCTCACGATTCCACGGAAGCCGGCAGACCAAACCGGAAGAAAGTGCGCATTCAGCGTCTGGTCTGCCGATAATGCAAGCGTAGAAGAAGAAATGTGCTGTTTACCTGTGCAAAGAAAGAAACAACGAAAGAAAAATGTCTGAGGACTTCAGTGTTGAGGAAGAGCATGAGTTCTTTGCCGAGCTGAATGCGCTGGTTTGGTGTGCCGGCTTCCGTAGAATCGTGAGCGCGCATGGGGGCGCTATTAGGAAATCCTATACACTACTGTTTATGCTCTAAAAACATTCTAAATGACTTCGTTTCGAGTAAATTCTGGATGCTACCCACTCAGGACACTTGGATTACATTGGACGAGCAGTATGGAGGAATATTGACACGTTTTTGTGGACTTTTATGGACCTTTCTGTCTCGGGCGCCATGGACCTCCATTATTTGAATGTCAGCAGACAGCAAGAAGCCTCCCAGATCTCCAGATGCATTTGAGATATCAAAAAAGTACTCCAGAGTGTTGTTCAGCATGGAGGTGAGTAGAAAATGAAGGCTAATCATGTTTTGGGTGTACTATTCCTTTAAGAGTATAAAGTAACCTTTAAAAAAAAAAACAGCCAGATGCCACTATATGAATAGAAAGCTCAATTTTTTGACTATTTTGAAGAAAAAAAATGCATGATGGGGCCATAATGAGGGAGGTCTTGTTGGTCTCCTGATACGCTCTCGCCTGTGTCCGACCTTTCAGACATTTCAACATCTTTTTCTGAATCCCACATTGTAGCATGGCATAGACAATTCACGTTAGCAGTTTGAAGAACTCCTGCTTGCTTGATGATGATTTCCTTTAGCTAACCAATGAGTGTTTGCGTTATATGACTCATCCAATCACACTAGTTTTCACTAGATGTGGATGGAGCCAATGATCTGCATTGGATGGAGCACATGACGGGAAATAAATATTTAGAAGTTAAACCGAAGCCAAGAGTAACGTTTGTTTTAAAAATGTAAGGAATAGAAAGTACAGATACTTGTGCGAAAATGTAATGAGTAGAAGTCAGAAGTAGGAAGACAAATAAGTGATGGAGTAAAGTATAGATACCAGAAGTACGGTGGCCCTGAAGTGCAAACTGCAACTACAAATCTAAAAGTGCAAATACATAAAGCAAAGCGCAACTACATTAAGAAAAACACAATTACATTAACCTACCGGAAAAGGTAGGTACCAGAGGGAAACATGATACGTCGCTGATTGGACGACGGCGCCGTTTGACCCTTGAACCGGAAGTTGCGTAGTCTGAACGGTCCAGCTTCTTTTAAGTGTGATTTCAGTGTACGCAAACTAACTGAAATTTCGTGATTAGTCTTGAGCATATCCAGTATCACCTCGTACGTATGTCCTGATTCAAAATATTCCTGGATAACGGCAGCTATGTTTGGGGCGCCGACAATATCCATGTTTTCAAAAGCCGCAGCAGGCAGAATGACTTCCGGTTCAAGGGTCAAACGGCGCCGTCGTCCAATCAGCGATGTCTCATGTTTCCCACTGGTACCTACCTTTTCCGGTAGGTTAATGTAATTGTGTTTTTCTTAATGCAGTTGCGCTTTGCTTTATGTAGTTTTGTTTTTCTTAAAGCTACAGTGTATAATTTTCAGCGACATCTAACGTCCAGACTGCAGACCGCAGCAACATGAACATCTCCCCCCCACCGCTTACGGGACAAAATGTCTTCCACGACGTCCGCATCACCTACCCTCTCAAGTGATGAGGTTCGTTTACATAGATAATTTTACAGATAGTATTTCATTAGTCTGTGTAAGGTATAGATTTCATGTAGACTTAACATAATAAATATACCCGTTATTTTTTCTACATCGTTGTGACGTTTTGGTGAGCTGCTTTGCATGGTGATATAAACAGATGAAGTAATTGTAGTCATTAGTTTAACAGCGAGATTGTGTTCGCTGGAAGAATATATATTCCCCGTTTACAGAGTCCAAGTTTTGTTTGCGGCACGGGGGTTACAAGACGAGGTAGAGGGAGAGGAAGAGGGCAGAGAGGCCGTGGTGGGCGTGCAGCTAGGGCCAGGCGAGGGAGAGGTGCCAGCGGGGTGACTAGAGCAGAGGAGGAAAGGCTTGAAGATCTCCAAAGGAGCCGGAGAGAAGTAACTGAGGTATATATCCAGAAAATTATTTTACAGAAAATTACTGAATCATTACCTGTGAAACGTCAGGGAAGTTGCTGAATAAGTATACTGGAGAGTAACAGCATCATCACGCAGCATGTTATTGTAATGGGCGATCTCGCAATCGCTAGTTTGTTGGCTCTGTGCTGCCGTAGCGCAAAGATGTCTGCCTCCATGGCTGCGAGACCCGCTCCTATGTAATTATAAATAACGAATTCTAAGGCAACGCAAATATTAAGGTTAAGAGGCTGAGCTCGTAGATGATGATAAATAACATAGTTATGTATAATATATTACATTTCTGACTGTATATCCCTGTAATTATTACACACTGTAGCTTTAATGTAGTTGCGCTTTGCTTTATGTAGTTTTGTTTTTCTTAATGTAGTTGCGCTTTTAGATTTGTATTTGCAGTTTGCACTTCAGGGCCACCGTACAGAAGTGTACTTAAGTACAGTAAAAAGGTATTTGTACTTCATACTTGACACCTCTGATGATTTGACATTTAGATATGATTTCCCAACTACTTTAAATGCAGAGGTAAATTTCTCCAATGTTAGATCAATAAAGTTCAATTATTGTTATTATTAGCAAACATACTAACCCCACCTGTCATGGGGGGTTGGATGCCCCTTCTTAAAGGTTAGCAGGTGGCAGCCCTAGCTTGAGGAGAGCCTGAACATCCTCCACATCAGTCAGACACACCTTCACCTCATTGAGGATCAGAGGGCGGAAGTAGAAGGGCTTAACAGACTAAGCATCGACTAAACAGACTATCCTATCGGCTCCCGTTCAGGGAAGGCAGGGAGCCTGAGCCGGACAGGCCATGTCGCTAATAATATTATGCCTCACTTTCAATAAAAGAATAACAGATGGTGGTGTCATTTATTCATTCCTGTTATCATGACGATTGTTTCTGAGCCTATTTGCTCTAAAATAAACCGGCTCCTATTCTACAGTTATCTGATAACAGAGCTAGCTTAAATTATGTAGCTGAACTCTCAAAGTTAGCTCAACAAAAACCCGTTTTAAGGCTCCATGTTTAATGTTACACGTTATTTACCACCGTAAAGCTTAACTGCTTATGTAAAACACAAAGCGTTGAGATATTTAAAATAAAACAGGGGAGAAGCTAATAATCCTTACAGGCTAATTCAACCCAGCTATAAGTCAGCAATATTTAAATGTGTTTAAAGAGCTAGCTAAGCATCCCAGCTATGTCAAATGAAGGTTAATAATAGCTCCCTAAATCACTGACCTCGGGTTGGATAAATAACCTCCGTTCCGTCTGTTTCCGCGGTTATGATGAAAACGGTCCCGCTACGAAAGATGAGTGGATGGTTTACCATGAAATGCGTGATTTTTCCCGTTAACTTCCCCGCAGCGGCTAGTTCAGAGCCCAGCGTTGCACCTGCACAGGAAGAGTGTAAGAGTGATTGGCAGCACAGCGGACCAATCACAGCAGAGATGGGAATGACTCACCTCCACAAACCCCGCCCCTATCCTGCTGAAGCCTTCGTGTTCCATTCATTAGGAGCAGAGGAGCCTTTATTTATGCAGCATGTTTGACTGATAAAACTCACTGGGTGCCTCACAATCCTTGGTTCTAGTCAAAACTGACAAGGATGCGGCCACAGAAAAGAAAAGAATGACAAAAACAGGGAAAGAGTGAGACTCCAGACCGACCAAACAGGGGTGGATTTAGTAAATATGTGGCCCTAGGCAAAAACGGGCAGGGGCCCCTCTGAATTGAGAAGACAACACATAAAACAGACCCACTATACAGATACAGAAATTTTAATAGAAAAGACATGCATTATTTGTTCTATTTTTTGTCCCTGTCTTCTTTTCCCTTTTCTTCTTGTTTTCCTCTCTATGTTTTGCACTCAGCTGACTTTTCATGCTGTCTCTAAAAGAATGAAAGATTTTTTTTCCAAGCACTAAGCTCACTTAGCTGATCGCTCCTTCCTGTGTTTCCAAAAAGGCCAAAGTAAATAACCCAGTACTTCTTTTCACTGTAGACAAGCCATGGTCTGCTTATCTGTTCTCCATTTTTCATTTGGATGAAATAATAGCTGCATGAATCATGACAGCAGACAAGATAGAGGAGAGCAGGAGGCGGGGTTACCAATCTACTCGCTCTGGAGAGCAGAGTTCGCTGCTTTTATATGTTGTCTCCAAAGTCTCCAGTAGCATAACAAAGCCGCTAGATTTGGCGCTAGGCGCTTAAAAAAAAAAAAAAAAAAGGTGCTAGAGGGGTCTGAAAAGTGGCTAAATATAGCGACTAAAGCGCTAAGTTGGCAACACTGCTCTTTGCACGGTTTATTTTCAAATGGTTTGCTGCTGTCTGTTTGGACCTTTCTGAACATGTGCAGCAAATGGACTGATCCAATGTGATGGAAAATGAAGGGGGGGCTGAGACACACTTAATATTCTTAACACTTAATATTCGTTTTGATGGCATTTTAGCAAAAGGATTTTTAATAAAAGACATAATGTGTGCAAACAAGGAATAGTTGTAGTAACCATTCATGTAAACAGAGTTTTATGGGGCCCTCAGGAAGTTGGGGCCCTAGGCAACTGCCTAGTATTGCCTAATGGCAAATCCCCCCCTGCTACCAAATAATAACTGTGATGCTATTAGAATACTACTGGAGCTTAAAGCTGACTGTAACTTCTAAATAATTAGTAAATAATAAATAAGTAAATTGGAAAGGCAAAATATTTAATTAGGAGGAATTAATCAGTTATTGTCTTTTCATAATCATAATTACTTTATTTATCCCTTGTGTAATTCTGTAATCCACACATATCATCATAAGAATTTATTTAATATTAAACTGAAACAACTGATTTAAGTGAGTAAAAATATATTAAAATCAGCGCATTTGCCCCTAATTCAAGGTAAATAATATGATGTGCAAAAGGAATGTGTGTTTTTTCCCCTTATAATCAGATATGACGCCCTTGAAATAAAAAAATAGAATTCTTATTTCAAACATAAATTATAATATTATTATATTATTCCACTGGAAAATTGACTGACTCAAATCAAGAGAAAATACACTTAATGCAAGAAATAAAAAAAAACTTTAATTTTTTACAGTATATGTTTCTAGTACAGGGGTCAGGACCTGTTTTACACTTCTCCCTGGTCTCTGTCTAGAACTGCACATGTTCACAATATACAACAAATCATGGTAAAATATAAAATTACAGTGCTTCTTAACAATAAACTATAATAAAGGTAAAGATATGATAAAATTCAATTCAATTCAGTTTATTTCCATAGCGCCAATTCACAACACATGTCATCTTAAGGCACTTTCCAGTTCACCAGATCATCCAGTCAGATTGATTCAAAGTTTTTTATCTAAGGAAAACCAGTTGATTGCACCGACCCATTGACTCGAATGCAAAACCTCCCACTAAGCATGCTTGTAGTGACAGTGGAGAGGAAAAACTCACTTTTAACAGTAAGAAACCTCCAGCAGAACCAGGCTCAGAGTGAGCGGCCATCTGCTGAGGCCGACTGGGGTTCAAGGAGACAGAAGCAGAGATACAAAAAGCAGCTGTAAAAGGCGACCCTGTCCAGGAAACACATAGCCAGGCAGAGGAGCTCCAAGCAAGCCATGTCAGAGGATGAAGAGAGCACATCCAGTTAGTCACAGTCAGAAACAGGACCACACTGAAATACAGGCGGATCTCCAACATCTATAAACAAGGGTGTTGATGGCAGCATCTCCTGGATGGTGTCACAGGCAAACAGTAAAAGTAAAATATCACAAAGTAAAACCTCAAAATATAGCACAATCAACCAAACGTTAGCTTAAATAACTCAACAGAGTCAGGATCACAAAGGCACCGAGGAAGATCATTCCACTATGCCTTTAAGAGTCATCCAGGTTTTTATGTCTTCAAGACATGCCTGTAGTCTATGAAATGGCTTAGTTTTATCTGGATTATAGGCAGATATAGCTGAGCATCATCAGCATAACAGTGGAAATTAATTCCATGCTGTCTAGTAATTCTACCAAAATGGGGCATATATACACTCACCGGCCACTTTATTAGGTACCCCATGCTAGTAACGGGTTGGACCCCCTTTTGCCTTCAGAACTGCCTCAATTCTTCGTTGCATAGATTCAACAAGGTGCTGGAAGCATTCCTCAGGGAGTTTGGTCCATATTGACATGGGATGGACATGGTCAGCAACAATAATCAGGTAGGCTGTGGCGTTGCAACGATGCTCAATTGGTACCAAGGGGCCCAAAGAGTGCCAAGAAAATATTCCCCACACCATGACACCACCACCACCAGCCTGAACCGTTGATACAAGGCAGGATGGATCCATGCTTTCATGTTGTAGACGCCAAATTCTGACCCTACCATCCGAATGTCGCAGCAGAAATCGAGACTCATCAGACCAGGCAACGTTTTTCCCAATCTTCTATTGTCCAATTTCGATGAGCTTGTGCAAATTGTAGCCTCAGTTTCCTGTTCTTAGCTGAAAGGAGTGGCACCCGGTGTGGTCTTCTGCTGCTGTAGCCCATCTGCCTCAAAGTTCGACGTACTGTGCGTTCAGAGATGCTCTTCTGCCCACCTTGGTTGTAACGGGTGGTTATTTGAGTCACTGTTGCCCTTCTATCAGCTCGAACCAGTCTGGCCATTCTCCTCTGACCTCTGGCATCAACAAGGCATTTCCGCCCACAGAACTGCCGCTCACTAGATGTTTTTTCTTTTTCGGCCCATTCTCTGTAAAACCTAGAGATGGTTGTGCGTGAAAATCCCAGTAGATCAGCAGTTTCTGAAATACTAAGACCAGCCCTTCTGGCACCAAAAATCATGCCACGTTCAAAGTCACTCAAATCACCTTTCTTCCCCATACTGATGCTCGGTTTGAACTGCAGGAGATTGTCTTGACCATGTCTACATGCCTAAATGCACTGAGTTGCCGCCATGTGATTGGCTGCTTAGAAATACAGTGTTAACGAGCAGTTGGACCTAATAAAGTGGCCGGTGAGTGTATAGTAAAGAGAATTGGCCCTGGCACTGATCCCTGTAGTACTCCACAGGTAACCCTGGGGGATGAGGAAGATTTGTCATTAACGTGAACAGACTCAAATCTGTCAGATAAATAAGATTTTAAGCAATCAGGTGACATTCCTTTAATTCCTACAAAACATTCAAGCCTCTCTAAACAAACACTGTGATCGACAGCTCTAAGTGAAACCACAGAATCAGTCTCCTATTAATAATGACATTCTTTTTCAAGGTGGCGATATGTTGTCCAATGCAAAAAACAATGCGGTAGTAATACTATCAGCAAGGGCATCAATTTGTGAAGGGGAAGAGATGGCTGTACAATGCAGTGTACTTCTGTCATACTGAGAAAATAAAAAAGGAACAGATTCTTTTGAATTGTTTTTGGTTTTTGTTGTTATCTTCACAACCAATACCATATGTTTCGACAAGTTCCAGAGTATGAAGGCAAGAGTGCATGGGCTCATGCACATTTTAAGCAAAGCTAAAAGGTCTATAATGGCATTAAAAGCTGTACCTAAGGTAATTACTCTCGATAGCAAGATGAATGTTAACATCGCTCATCATAATGACCCTGTCAGTGTTAGACACTAAATAAAGTAAAAATGTTCTAAGAACTAACTTAAAACCTGATAGTAAAAGCCTGGTTATGGATAGAAAAAACAACAAACAAAACTATATTTCTCAAAATGTGGTCATTTAATTAGAGTGAGCTAAACTGTGATTATTCAATAAATTAGAGGGAGTTAACCCATGTGTCATAATCCTCCGTACATGTGTGGGTTCTCTCCAGGTACTTCAGCTTCCTGCCACAGTTCAAAAACATGCCTGTTAGGTTAATCTGCATCTCTAAATTATCCTTAGGTGTGAGTGTGTGTGTGCATGCTATGGTTATGTGTTACCCCGTGATGGATTGGCAACCTGTCCAGGTAGTACCCCGCCTTTTAGACTTCTGGAGATAAACACCGGCACCACCTCGGCCCTGACTGAAAAGCAAATGGATGGATGATATACCAATCACAAAAACTAATTTATAGATAAACAGAATGAGTTTTAGCATAAGAATTTTCCAGATCTTATTCCAGTCTAGCAATTATGAGATTTAGAGAGCAAAACAGTTAAATTAATTCAGGCTCCTTCTTGCAGATTTCTGGACTTAAGAGATCTGCTCTTCAAAACTTGGCACCAAATACAAGAGCACACCTTCAAGTGTCTGGTGGAGTCCAAGCCTTATCAGATCTCTGCTGTTTTGAAATCTTTTGACAGGTGCCAACAGGGACCGGTGTCCCTACAAAACTGGTCCTGGCCTCTGTACTGAAGACATAATATTAAACCAATAATCTGTCATAATCTTGGCTCTGATGTCTGATCACTCATTTCAT